CAGAAGGCACTCTGTCATTAGAATTCCTCGACCTATCTGAGATGTCGAAAACTGTCAGAAAAGGGCAAAAATTTGCCGCCCATGTATTTCTTAGAGCCGCTCTAAGTAATAGTTAACTCAAACAAGTCTTTGGCGATTGATAAAATCATAGACAGTTATGCCTGAAAATGTGGAATCTCCTAAAAGGCAGGGGTTCCCGCAACGTTAGTTTCCTTTTTGGTATGATTTTCGGAGACTTACAGCTGATGCTGTGTATTGGAGTGTTTACCAGATATTCAGACGCGCGTTGCTGCAGCAGGTGGTGACAAAACAGTCACGGGCTAAAAGAATTTAACGAAGACTTTAACGGTTGAGTAAGGTGTGGAAAGTCAGTTAGAGATAAAATATCGCCTTCATTTAACAAGACTCTTAAACCATAATTTGGCATATGTTTCTGCTGTTACGACGGATAGCCCTGCGGCTGAATATCTTAACGGATAGCTTTCACTTTACGCTACATTAAAGCCCTGGTGGCTGCCATGAAGTCCACCTGAAAGCAAGGCTTTCCACATTTATTTACATCTGTGTGTTACGCCGAATTCGACTGATAAACTGTCTCCAATCTTGATAACATTCCTCGTTTGAATCAACTGCGGGCTCGTATATTCACGCCAGGATTCAGCCGCTTTGATCATGCCTCTGATCGCTTCATATACGACGACTCCCAAAAAATATTGTATTCTAATTGAACATTCCTATATGTCTTTTGCCGGAAAACCAAGAGTACACACTTCTGTCTCTCAAATGGATCTACGTATGGGCGATTGTGTATACGCCTGTTTAAGCGATGATTACTCCTTCTTACGAGCTTTCTGAGATTTTGGGTCTGAACCTTTCCTAAGATCATCCTATCGATCATGAGATACGAGGACGGTGTGTAATCCTTTGCCATATTTGTATTTATTCACAATTTTCTCGTTGTTTTGTTTCTACACAATTTTCTAGATGGATTCTACTTATCACGCATTTTTCTCGACTCGTGCTTATCGGTATTTATTTACGGTCGCGTACTTACGCTCACGCGTTTTGATTCAACCGGTTTGAATAACGTTATCTATAGTGCACATTTTGCTCCTATTCTTTTTCTTCACTAGACCGTATAGGTAGTCAATTTCCTCATATCGGGGGTATCGCGCTCGGCTTGTCTTAACGTTTTCTTAGCGTGAGAATGACTCCTCGACCGTTAACTCGCGTTAAAAAGGTGACTTTGAACGCGGACGCGCCAGCTATTTTGACGCGTTTTTCGCAAGTCCACAAACAGCCAATAAGTGTGCAGTGCCTCGTCCTTTTTCGCTCGCGCGCACTTGCACTCACTTTTTGCCATAATTATGACTGATGACTCCGTTAACGCAGTATCTCTCTTCGTGCCAGACTACTGACCCAGACTATAATGTCCAATGACTCAATGAGCTGTACTTCATTCGCGTCGAGTCAACTTCATACTCTGCGAATATCACACTGGAGCTCACCTACTTTCATTGACTAATCTAGGCATTATCATTGCAGGTCTTATCCCATGTATAATCGGTCGTTGATACTCCACATACTGATGAAATCTACACCGAGCGGAAGGCAGCCATTCTGCACCTTCGTCTCGTGTCCCACCGCCAGAAACACCATCAACCGATTTTTGAGGAATCTTTCTGGCGATCGAAAATCTAGCGAAGATTGCGCACGGTTGCGCCTGGTCCAAGGCGATGTCCTATGCTCTGAGTGACCTCGTCTATGGAGTCACGAGTTACGAGGGCGTCGATTTGCAGAAACACTGCAAGTTGGTCTGCACGTGCCACACCCATGACCTGGCCATGGGCACTTTTCGTATCCAGGCCTGATGAATCTTGTACAGGGCGCTGGATGGGGCAGCCCTGAACGGGAGCCTCACCAGAGGTTATAGTTTTGGGCCTACTCTGCAGAACAGTATCAAGCCTCGTCTCTTCTCCAACCTTAGAGGATAAATCCACTGTCTTAATACACCTTGACTCACCTTTTGTTTTCTTTTTTGCGCAGCCGAGGTCGTGGACCTGGTGCTGGACAGCGGTGCATGCGCGATGCGCTTGCTACAAGCACACACCAACATGCGGGATCTTTATGTCTGCAGCGTGTCCCGGGCCTACCTTACGTACCTCGCCACTAGCGTATTCTGTCTTATTGATGAGAGACTGGGTCCCCCTTTCTGCCAAACCCACAACCTAGCCCGTCTTAACCGCTTTATCAAAGACTTCCACTCTACTGTGCCGGCTCTGTTGCCCTGCATTCGAACTTACGCCCAGCACCTGCCCGATTACGCTGCTAGCCTGTCCATGTTGGGTCAATGCGCTCCACTCCTGAAGTTTAAGTTTTAGAGGATCCAGCTTCCTCATTCTTTTCGTCCGCCTTCACGTTCCGCCTCCCTTTTCGGAGCTACATTTAAGCATAGACTGGTCCAATAATGTATGCATCCAACGCTAATGCCTGAACCACACATCCTGACTTATAAAGAAGTTTTGGTGACAAATAGAATCACATGATTTGACCTTCCTTTCGTAGACTCAATCAGCACGTCATTCCCCCTGTCCATGTGCCTTTGGTTTCTCTTTTGCAAATACTTGGAAGTCCTTTTGAATTATGTCAGTGAGATAAATTCCAGACGCTTACCCCTCCCCCGTTGCTCGTCGCGCGCTGCCTCTTCCTACACTTCTCCGTAGCAGCCGACTTGATCTGCAGTTTGAGACAGCTGAACATCATGCCCCCCTGCCTCCCCCCAATTCTCGCCGCTCCTACCTTTCTGGCCATGAAAGTGAACTGGTGGGATGGGAACGAGACCAGCCCATAACCCAAACCACATTAAAGGGGGCTTGTACGGCAGCCTAACCGGAACAAAGGAACGGGTGTCGCCCACAACACATGCGCAAGATTCCGGAGAAATTTGTTTTAGAATTAAAATGGGTTTAGGACCATTATTTTGTCCGTCGTCCACCTGCTAAGCATGACTACGCTTTTATCGCACTTTTGACGAGACCCTTGTCCAGACATTCACAGGCCGAGCGTGGGTCATTTTGACTGCGCAACGTGGTCACTTAAGCTGATGAGCGATTTAGAGCGCCGGCAATTTGAGCTGGTAGGACAATGGAGATGAGGCTTTTGCAGCCCGAATGACACAAGTTAGGTAGGTGAATGCCCCCCAAAGGCAAATTTCTTCACACAGAAAGTACTTGGTCGGTCGACGAGAGTTTCATTGGGGAAGGAGAAAGTTAGTCGGCAGCTGCAATCATAGGTCTCGGGCCTGTCTAAGGGTTCATCATCTGAAATAAATTTAAAGAAACATGCATGATCCCATATACATTATTATTATCTCACACTAGTGAAGTTTGGCATAAGTCTGAAGTCGGCTGCACAGGACTATGCACGCAGGCAGGAGGTTCACATACTAACTGATCGATTTATACCCGCCTGGTCAGCTTTTGGGCAGTCCAAGGCCTGTCCTGCACTCTGCTCAGGAAAGTAAATCAGCAGTGGCGAGACTGACGACTGGTCGGTTTGGAGAGTATTGGCGGCGATTTGTGAAAGCTGGTTATTTCGTCATGCGTCTGCTCGGGATGGGTTTAGACAGCGGTGTTATAAAAAGATCTAAGGCCTGTAGATAAAGTACGGCTCAGCATACGTGAAACCTGCCGACATTTGCGAAAGAGTGATATTCACTTGCTGATCCGTATTGAGTAAGTTTGTTATACTGATTATCTTGTGGCCTATTCTTAGTTCATTTCAGTCACGATAGGATGCCGGCTTTTTAACTAGCTTCTTTCTGACCGCTGACAAAAACTCTGTACTGTAAAAAATGGCTACTTAAGTAGTATGCATTTTTCTCATTGATTTTGACCGCCTTTATAAATTCAAGTATATTTCCTGGAAAACATGCAGGCCTTCTTTGCATCTTATATTTAAATGAAGGGTATCCTTCGATTTTAGAAAAATTGCTAATTATGAGATTTTATACGATCTTGAGGTGTTCATTCATAATATATCGTGTCCGTCGATTTATTAATGCTGCCTATAATGTATAGAGCATGATGCACATCTACATTTTATGAGAACTATGTGAATTCTTTCACAAACTGTAGGCCAAAACTTACTCGACCCGAAACGGAATCTACAGTGTGCGCAGCTTGTAAACCTTGAATTCAGGTGCAGCAGTCGGTAGGTTTCAGAATTATTCGCCAATTTAGAAACTTTTTAAAACCAAAAGATACAATTTCTTTAAGTGTAATATTTTTAAAAAATGCGTAATTTTCTACCAAACGAGTACAAGAAAGAATTTTGTCGTGCATGCTTTGATATTATAAAGGCATTCAAAATCAATGATAACAATACATACTACCTAAGTAGCCATTGTTACAGCACCGACTTTTCGTTAGCGGTCATGAAGAAGCTAGTTAAAAAGCCGGCATTTTACCGTAACTGAAATGACTTCAGAAAAGATTACAAGATAATCAGTATTACAGCCTTACCCAATGTCAATTAGCAAGTGAGTATCAATCTTTTGCAAATGTGGCATGTTACACTAATTCTGAGCCGTAATACAAAAGCAGCTATTGAAGCATTGTTTCCTCAGACGAAATTTGAACAAGACAAAGACCACGAGACTGCCAGGATTAAATGACGTCATGCAATTTCGTGATCTCATATTCAAATGCACATGGTCACTGCCTATTAATACGATAACAGTGTTTCTTGGAAACGACGATCCGGAGAAGTTCATCGATAAATATCGTCACCACAAACAAGGAAGTTATCCCGGAATATCAGGGCCAAAAGTTGGTGAGCATCTTCCTCCCTTTCAAGGGTTATACTGTGTCCAACGTGATCAAGCACAACGATCAAGCCCACTCCCTCCAAATTTTTGTGTATAGGCACAATAAGGACTATTCCAGTTAGACCAACTAAAGATATTCTGCCTATGCACACCACATAAAACTGTGTTTACGAGTTCACGTGTAGTTGCGGATGCAAATGCATCGAGCGCAGGCAAAGGCAGTTGACAACGCAATCAGCTAAACCCATGCCGAAGCGGATGCCCAGGGCGGAATATAAACTACCAGTGAGTTCAACTCTGAAGCGCTTGGTTGTCACTGGCCATACGGTCGACCAAAGGACTGTAGTGATTAGCTCAACACGAATTGCAGTTGTGAACGCTTGTCGTGACTAGCTCAAGTCGAAGTGCACTTTCTGAATGCTTGCTGCTTCTGGCCTCTATAACAGCCAATCACAGATCGACTCACACAGGGCTTCATGGGATGACTGCAGAGCAGATCTTACTTCAGACGCCGTCCGCTGGCTTGCGGTTGTGCGGACAGAATATACTCTACCTAATAATCTGGCTTTCCCAAGACTTTCCTCTCCTCTCTTAAGGAACCGGGCCTGGAAGATCGCAGCCGTAAGAGTTAAACCTTAGTAGTCTTAACACCCCTCGATAGGACTGCCTTTATGGTCGTACTTCAAACGACGACCGGGCACCTCCAGCGAGTTGCGACGGCCTCTGCAATAGGGAGAGGAAAGCCAGAAATCTGTAAGCAGCCAGTATTTGTTTAGGGAAACTGTTCTAGTCCCTTTCTCCGCAATGAGGCAAGCAGTGCTGTCCACAAATAAGGGTGCTTGGATGTCCCCGACGGCCGCCGAACTTCACCAGTTGGTTTTCAGTGGGAGAGTGACCCCGGGAAGCCAGGTCCA